AAAGTTCATCAAAAAGTGAATTTTGACTCGTGTTTAAAATTTGGAAACCAGAACATACTGCTTGTTTACTCACTGAATGCACCATATAGGAATAACATATTCAATTTGATCACATTTTTCTCTTTATTGAATCTCTTTGTTTTATTTGATTGAGGTTTTATGTGACAGTTTCAAACTAAGCAGTTCTAGATTTAAGCATCTGGCATAATGGAATTGCAGGGTTTTCTCTTGTTAAAAATGTGCTTCCTTTTTGATTTGAAAAGAATGGCGCTCAATCTGTCTTTTCCATCCCAATTGTTATATTGTGTTCATCATCCTAGCATCTGAACAAATGGCACATAACCTCTGCTCTCAGTTTCTGCCCTGCTTAGAAGAGAGGAGGGGCAGCACACATCAGCATTTAGTTTATTGAGTTTAAGATGCTCTTCTTTTTTTTTTAAGATTTTTATTTTTCTTAAAAGCAAACTTTTTGGCTCTATTTTTGTCTTTCAGGTTGATCCCTCCTTGAGAGAAAAATTGAAACGGAACAATGTGACTCTGGAGTCTGAATATGAGGTACAATAAATCTGTTGCTTGGGGCTCATAACCCTGGCTGCCCTTGATTACCATGGCCACTGGTGGGGTGTATCTGTCCATAACTAAAATTAGATCAGCCATCTGCCTGTGATTCACTGATTCTCAGTAAAACAAGGTTTGTGTTGAGAAAGGTTTTTGAACATGTAGTACTTCTTTGTAACACAGCTTTACTTTGATGTCCAGGTGCCAAGTACAATGGTACAAAAGAAACTCCACTATTTGTGTGGTTAGCCTAGTCTGTAATAAAGTAGAGCTGATGTTGCCCTTCGCTGGAACGTGTATGCGCTTATGTTAGCACTTCTACTGCGTAAGTTGTAATGAGCTTGAGAGCAAATTACAGCACAAGGCGCTTGGCGGGCTGCCTGTTACTATTTCTTGCTTCTCAAGCGTCTGTGTCACTCTCAAACAACTGCCGTTTCTTTTTCTCCATTTTGGAAAACTACTAGAGGTATTTGCTCCTTTTCTCAGCGATGCATTTTCAGCTCCAAAATGGACATTTTGGACAGTTTACTGTAGAGAGTTTAATAAATCTTCAGGCCTAGAAAGGCCTTATTAGGCTCCCTGTATCCAGAACAGGGATACCAAACCTCCCTGTCTCTGGAAAAAAGGGAGAAAGCTATTTCAGATAACTTGTAAGATTTTTAAATGATTTGGATCAAATGTCCAACTGACACTTTATGTATCCATGTGCTCTTTATGCTGAGGACAGGTTTTCTTTTCCTTTCAGTAAAACTTTATACAGCAGATTTTTTGAGAGCCTGTTTGCATCTACAGCTCTGATACTTAGTTGTCCAAATGGCAATATATATTTTGCTAATTAGACCTTCTTCATTCCATTACTCTTTTGTGTTTTCTCTAAGAAATAAAAAATAAACTTACATGTTGCAATTTTACATACATAATTTCACAGAATGTATGCCTACCCATTAGATTTATGAGTTATTGACAAATATTTGAAAGTTTTTGAGGTATCCTCCTTCTACCAAGAATTGTGACCTATGTGTACAGAATAAAAAGATTTATTTTCTGGGTAGATATTGAAAGCTCAAGTGGAAACTCAAAACATACAAATGCATTAAGTTCTAATCACCTCTGGGATTCTTCTGTGCCTCACTTTCAATAGAATATACAGTAAGGTTGTTTCAATTTACTTATATGGAAGAACCACGAGCAGCAAAAAGAGCCACATCCCTCCATTTTGCTCACTACCTAACCTCAAAATGAACTGATTGCTATTCTGATATGCCTTGTTTTCCCTCCAGCGAGTAAATAGTTGAAGGTTAATGCTTAAATGGCCATAATTGCATTTGCTTTATGGCGAAACCAATAGTAATAAAATACAACTGGCGCAACAACGTATTATGAGCCTACTTGTGTAATGAGGATTTTTCATGATGGACAGAAATGACAGATACAACTTATTTTTCTCCATCTAAACTACAGAGAGCCCCCAGGCTGAAACTGAAGTACATGGGTGGTCCAGAGAGTAGACCAGGTCAGCAATTCAGACATATTTGAATTTCTACATAATTAGAATTATTCAGATTGTTCTGAGATCTAATCTCACTGTATGTGCTGTTGTGAGCAGTGACATGCAAGTGCTATGCATGTTGCCTCTGGCTTCAGTGAAACTTGAGGAACCACCAGCTGTTCAGCGGGCAGGTGCTTAACAGACTCTGAAGGAGCATTTCATAATTTTAATGGATACCACCTATTCTGAAGCCTTAACCCATCACTGAGTTTCTCCTGGCATTTGGGGCAGTAGTTTTATGGGTCCTCTGGGTTCCTTGCTGGTGGTTTCTTTTTTGTGTGTTTTTTTTTTTTTTTTTTGCCAGTCGTTTCAAAGTATGGTTACCTGATACAGGCAAAGCTTCCAGCCATTGCTCCCCCCAAGACTTTCAAAAATATCTTATTTAGAAGAATAGAAATGTACATATTGAATGTGTTGTAGGACAAACTTAAAGAAAACAAAACAAAAAAAAAATTAAGTATTGACCCAAGAGAAAAAGCCTAGAGTATTTATTTGAAAGTGCAGAAATATTGTTTGGAAGAGGGGAATAAAATATGCTTGCTTATCGTGATGAATAGCAAACATTCTCCTGAATGTTTAATGGTTGCAGGCATTTATTTTCTTTGGTTTAAATGCCATCTCTGGATGGCATTACTTATTCTAGCATGTAGTTTCTATACTTTTCTGAAGATTATGGTCTAATACAGATTGAAATAAATAATTGCTGCTTAGGAGTTTTCAACCAAATAAAAAATATCTTGAGCATTTATTGGTAACTTAGAGAATTATGATTTTACAATAAAAAAATGATTAATTTTGAATTAGATATGGTTTCACCCAGTGGGGAATTAAAGGCAGAAAAAGGTGCAATAAAATAACCAGTGTAAAACAGTTGAGAATAGTAAATGAAAGGTTATGAAGCAGAGAAAATTGATAAAGGAGACTCAGGATGACAGAGAGTTGTTTGATAACAGGACTGGCAAGGATATGGATAATAAGATTGTATTGCAGCAAAGTAAGAGTAAAATAAATCTTAGGATGAAAAATCGCTAGTAACCATATTGATAAAGTAGAAACATTCAAAATATTTTTATTCTATGTAAAGGGGGAAAAAATCCTTTATATTCAAATCGGGAGGAAGAAGGATGGTACTTTTAAACAACCAAACAGGATCTTAGCTAATAACCATTGGCCTCTGGTGATTTATACCCAAGTGTTCCAAGAATATAATGAGAAGTTTTCTGTGGCCACTGAAAATGTCGAAGTGTGCTTGTCCTTGGGAGTTATCAATAGGCAGGAAGAAGAGGTTTTTAAAAGCATTCTGTAGGATTTGAGACCTATCGGGGCACTCCTGCACTTTCCTGTCAGTGATCTGGATGGAACTGCAAACTCGTTCCTGGTGTACAAGTGACACGAAGGTACCGGTGTGATGAAGGCACAGCAAGCCCGGCACACGGAGCAGCTCGCATTTCTTGGTAAGCTGGGCAAAGGAGCTTGTTAAAACAGCCAAAGCCGAAGTGGGAAATGCAGGTCAGAATGGGCTACGTCATGAAAAGTAGCAAAAAAGTTTAAGAGTCAGAGAATAAGTAATTCAAATTGGTCTTCTGATGTGATGGTGTGGCAGAAGGCTAATTTGGTCTCTATACATATAAGCAATGGTAAATAGGAGGAGGTGATTTTATTTCTCAATGCAGCATTGATGAGGCTGGTACCGATATAGGACCGAGTTCTGGTGTCCACGTTTTGGACAGGACTTTAAAAGTGAGATAGGCTGCAGAAAAAGCTGAATATATTGATGTTAGCTCAGGGATGGTGAAGATGAATTGCAAGAAACTTAAAGGCTTAAATCTCTTTTAAGCTACCAAAAAGAACATTAGTTAAGGTATATGAGTACCTCATAAGAAGCAAGTGCTAGCTATTGAAGGGTTTTGAAATGCAGCAAAGGGATTCTGATTGGAAACTAAGCCAGCTGTTAACGGAGAGGGTAATTGTTGGAACACAACGAGAAGAAAAATGGGTTTTGTCTTTTGGCAGATTTGTTTCAAAACTTCTAAATCTTCAGCTAGTTGCAAACTATTGGATTTGGCAGGCATGGAATAAATGAGTGAATATGATAATCTATGAATAGTTAGCCTAGAGAAGAGTTCTTCTTAAAATGTGTACAGTTAGTTTTTGTTCTTCACAGTTTGATAGCTCCCAAGAGGCCAATGTGAGCTCTAGAAAACAAGAATTGGTGGCTGTTCTGAGAATTATTACAGAAATATTGTAGTTACATAATTAAAATGATTATCTGAGTTTAAAAAGAAGCAGCAGGTTGTGTGGGGCTCTTATTTGTGTATCTATGTCTGAAGAGTAAAAGAAAATGGAATTTGAATAAGCACTTCTAGAAGTGCTTCAAGCTACTTAATGCTAATGTGAATTGACCTGAGAGGTTGTAGGCACAGGGTGGGCAAGATATTATTTTTTATTATTTTTTATTATTTTTTATGCAGTGTTGGTGTAGCAATGTAGCAATAGCCAAACATATATACCTACACTCACACCATATCCCAGACACTGATTTGTCATTGATAGAAAACAGAGAAGGAAAGCTATCAGTGCAAGTAGACAGCAAATATGATCAAGGCGTACAAATGCCTGCACTGAGTAATCTCTCCTCCTCCCTCTTTCTCTTCTCTTCAAAATAACATTCTCTGCAGCTGTTGGCAGTCCCTGCATGCCAGCCCTTAACATGTTAGGGCCAACACTGCATTTTCTCAATCCCAAGGCAAAGCGTGAGCGGGGAAGATGGCATCCCCACAGCATGGCTGAGCTCCTTGATCCTCGTCCTGAGGGATGCTGCTGGCGTCTGCCCGGCAGCACCGGGACCCTTTCCTTGTGCAGCTGCCTACGGAGGATTGGCCAGCACATCTGTCACACTAATGGGCCCCCAGTGGGATGTTGCTGGGATCTGTAATGTTAAAAACCTCTGTAGTAAACGTGCAGTGCAGGGGAATTTAGCTGCACGGTTGAGTCTGTATACATTCCTCTTACTGACTGCCTCTAAGAGGCTACACCGTAACAGTTAGTTTCCAAGGAAGCTCTTATCGCAGCAACCCAGTAAATGTATTTGAAATGCAGTACAGCTGTATTTGAAATGCTTTTAAGGGACTTTTACACAGTTCTAGTATGTTCTTTGTTTGCTTTTCAAATGATGGTTAAGGATCTTTTTTATGATGTTTAAGCTAGGCTATAGAAACACAGCACCAGCAAGTTCTTGTCATACAGCGGGACACTATCCTGAGAGATAACTAATTAAAAGGCAAAGGAGATGTAAGATGATGGCGAAGACTGGCCATGGGAAGTGGGATTGTTTATGATTGGTTGAAATAAATGAAGTTACCCATAAAGCACTAACATGTCTGTTTTAGTCATTTGGGATAGTTTTATGCATGAGGTACGTGGGACGAGGAGATTGGTGTTGTGGGAG